TGGAGGCTGCTGCTCACCCCGAGGTTTTCCCTTACCACAGCCACTACCAGACCTAGCCAGAGACTGCAGAGTGATGCTGAGCCCAGAACCAGTCAGAGAGCACCAGCTGCGTCCCACAGCAGGCCCGCTGTGTCTTCCTTCTCTGGTGGAGGACTGAGCAGAGTGTGCCGTGGGGAGGGACTGCTCTCTGACTCAGGGAGGAGAGGGGTGGGGTGCTGTGTGTGGGGTGCAGTGCCAGAGAGGCCTTAGTGCCTGGGCCTGTGGTCTGGCAGGATGGTGTCCCTGAGTGTGGGCATAAGGGGGACATGGCAGCTGGAGCCTGACTCCCCCACCTGTCCCCTAGTGACTGCTGAGCCAGGTAGCCTCCCAGTTTGCTCATTTGTGAAGATGAGCTGGTAGTAGTTCTGTCAGGTGGGCATTGTGAGCATTAGGGGAAATTTGTGTTACATGCCCACCCGGCCCAGAGCCTGGTATGTGGTAGATGTTTAGGGGAACTTAGGTTGCCTGACAGCCAAAACTCTTCCTCCTCAGGCTCTTCCACCTTCTCAGGCATTTAGAGTGTTTCTCATTCTCAGGTGCCCTTCCTCCTGTAGCCCTTCCCTGGTGGAAGAGCCCCAGGCTGTGAGTGTCAGGCACAGGAGCCGTGCCAGGGCCTGGATCCTCATGGTTCTATGCCCACAAGGGATCCAATGGCAGCCTGAACTTGGCTACCCACCGGGCACCACCTGGCATAGAGAGCAGGGGATTTGTACCCTATGGGCTTCCCAAAAGGTCAGCCAGACAGCAGGGGCTACCTCGTTCTTCTTTGCTCTCCTGCTTTCTCTTCCCTATCCTGGTAAAACAAATCCAGAGTGGGTTGGGCAGAGCCCCAAAATGCAGATTTGCTCTGCTCAGGGGACTCCTGTTTCTTGCCTCCTCTAAAACAGGTATGCAGAATCCAGGGCACCTCAGGCCTCCTGCCGCCCTCACCCCTGCAGATGCCGCCCTCACCCCTACAGATGCCGGTTTCCCCTTTGAGGTTGGAGCCTCATCTCTAGGGGCTGCTGTAGGCTTCTTTGGTGGGGAAGGGGCCTGGGGGTGTCACCCCTCTTGCAGCCCCTCCTCACCCAGGTCACTATCAGTCCTTCCCTTCCCCTCCCTCCCTTCATCTCTCCCTCCCTCCTTCTTGCTCCCTTCAGAACTGGTGGGCAGTTACTCCAGTCAGTCCTGCTGGGGAGAAGTCCACTTGCTCCCTAAAGGAATCACCTCCATTCTGCCCCCCTCCTGGTTCTGGGGTCCTTTGAAGGCCTGTGTCTCTGTGTCCCCTGTGCCCCAGAGTTCTCTCTCCTGCCCTGGGCTGGGTTCTGCCTGTGTCCAGTTTGCACTGTGCCCATCCCTGCCTCTCTCTCCTTCCTGGTTTCTTGAGTCTTTCACTCCTCAATTTGGGTTTGGTGTCCTCCTGGGTCAGAGTTTATCTCTGCTCCACCAAGCCCCTCTTCCTTTTTTACTGCCTGCTTGTTTACTTTTTCTTTCTTGCTTTGAGCTTTTCTGGGGAATGTGTTTTATTAGACATGCTTTGGCTCAGAAATGATCAGGCTTAGGAAGAAGTGCTTGTAGGTGACGACTGAGAGTGCTGTGTGTGCGTGTGTGTTGAAGAATTGAGGAAGCTGATAAATATTTTAGGATTCAGGGGCACCTAGGTGGCTCAGTCAGTTAAGCATCTGCCTTTGACTGAGGTCATGGTCTTGGGTCCTGGGATGGAGCCCTGGGATCAGCAGGGAGCTTCTTCCTCTCCCTCTGCTGCTCCTTCTTGTGGGTTCACTCTTGCTCTTTCTCTCTCTCAAATAAATATAATCTTAAAAAACAATATTTTAGGGTTCAGAAAACCAGGAAGGTTGGACCAAGAGGGGCTCCCACCCCTCTACTTTCTTCTTGGGAAACACCCTCTCTTTTTTCCTTGGTTAGAATCTTTGTGATGCTTATCTCACCCAGTCCCCTCTTCTGTTGCCTGTCCTTGGTTGAAAGGGTCCTTACACAGAGAGGAGGGGTGGGATTGACTGGCTCAAGAGGGCTGACCTTGGGTTGGGTGCTTAGTCCTGAGCCCAGGGGCCAGCTAGGGGGTGGGGGTGGAAACCTGGAGCCAACACCAGTGCTGGGGGAGGTGTGAAAGAGGCTGCCTCATTGCCATGCGGTGAGAATGAGGCAGCACTGAGCAGCAGGCATTGTGGGGACCCATTTCAAAGCCGACCCACCTCCTGGCATTGCCCCCCAGAGCCCTGAACCCCGGGAGCTGGGGAGCTACAGAGTCAAGCTTTGCTGCTGACGGTGGGCAACTGCCTGCTCAGCAGTGCTGGCCTTTTCCTCACAGCTTCTTCCTCTTGCCTTGGGCTTCCGGGGCCAGGGAAGAAGCCCCCTGCTGTGGACAGCCTGTCTCCCCCATGTCTCCCCCACACCCAGTAACCAGGCCCTGGAATAACTCCTTCCTCTTCCCTAGGCTCCTGTATTTCCTTTTTTACCTCCTGGAAATTCTGCCCAACACACATTCACATATGCATGCACACAGTCACATACACCCATAGACATACTCACACATGCACACACACATTCTGCCACATACGCACTCATCCTTGTCCTTTTGCTAAGAGCTACACATATGCACATATTACACTCATACACACTTATGCATCCTTTTACCAAGAGCTACTCGCATGCACACAGACTCTCATGCATACACACGTTGCTCCCCCTGCTCGCTCACGGTGCCCGCTGCTTGCCCATTCTGAGTCCAGGATCAGCCTTTGTGCTCCTGGAGGCTGGGAGGCAGGCTCTGTCCCTCTCTAGGTACCCCTGGGGTTGTGGGGGAGGGGCCAGCTGCAGCTGAGCTCTCTCCTTGCTTTCCCTGAGGGGTTGGAATTCAAACCTAGCCTGAAGCAAGGTTGGGGGTGGGGGAATTGGGAAACCTGCTGGGGCCTCAGGCAGGTGAGTGCAACACTCTGCTCTGCTCCAAAAATACTCTGTGATCTTAGCTCTTTCTCTAGAAAACAGTGATGTCACCAGTAGCCAATCAGCTTCTAGAAGAGCTTGCCTCCTCCTCCTTCCGCACTTAGGGAGGAGAGGGAAAGGGGGATGGGGAGGGAGAGAAGGAGAGACACAGAGATGAACAGACAGCATGTAGGCAGACATGGAGAGAAATGCAAACACAGAAACGTAAGCACACAGAGGTCCCTCCACACAGGAAAGCTGGCAAAACCCCTTCTCGGTGCATAGGCAAGGGAAATCCACATATTTCCCCCAATACACACACACAGACACACATACTGATAGAGACATGTAAACTGAGAAAGACTGACAAGTGGAAGCATTCACATAGAGTGAGAGCTAAAGAGGAAAAGACAGAGACAGAGACTGGAAGAGAGACAGGATGGCGCAGAGAGACATGGAAAAGGAGTAGGAGAGCGACTTCTGTCTCAGAGCCAGAGAGACAGAGGAGGAGTCAGAGAGACAGACACATAGAAGGAGCCAGAGATGCAGGGGCATGAAGGAAAAAAGAAGAGAGAAGGAGATGGGCGGGAGCACACAGGGGTCAGAGATGCAGTCAGAGTCAGATGCTGAGGCACCACAACAGATAGGCAGACAGACAGAGATAGAAGGACAGGCGGGTGCCATTCTTCCGGGCATATTTTCTGTGGTGGGAGGACCCATCAGCACTTGGCTTTGCGCCTCTAGTAGAGCAGCTGCTGTCCTTGGTGCTGCCTGGAGGGGCCCAGCAGGGACTGGGAAGGGAGGTGAGTTTGGATGGGGAGAGCTGTGGTCTAGTCCGGAGTTGTGTTGGGTAGTGTGAGGGAAAACCGAGGGAGAGGCTTTTCCAGGCTGTCCCTTTCACTGGGAAACAAGCTGGACAAGGTGACTTTGTGGGCATGGAGTGAGTCCTTGTGTGGGAGGGAGCAGTTTCAGGCTGAAGGTGGGGATAGCACGCCTCCTATAGGGGCTCAGGAGCAGGCTGCCAGGCTAGAGAAGCCCTGGCTGGGTTAATCTGTCCTCTGTGTCCTCCAGCTTGGGGGTGGGGGTGGGGGTGGGTCTCGGTCTCTCTCCACGTTGCCCTCCCGATGCCAAGAGGATGGGTGCACCCTATCCAGCTGTATGTTTATCACTGCCAAAGGTGGGATGATTTCCCCTTAGCTGGCTGAGTTCAGCAGTCCCAAGGGCCCCACTCTGTCCCTGCATCCTGCTATCCTAGTGGTGATGTCTGGAGTTTAAAAATTGGAGGGCTAGAGGCCCCTCCTGCTCCACTCTCTGCAGCAGGTGCAGTGGGGCAAGGGAGGAGGGGCCTGGAGAGGCCAGTCAGGCCTGTGGGGTTTTCCCTCTGGTGTTGCCATGAGCAGCCTCTGCTCAGCTTGTTAGGGATTCCCCTGCTCCTGTATGGAGTACTCTTGTTTTGTGCTGCGAACATCAGGCTGAGCTGGGGGTGGGGCGTAGGAGGAGGCTGGCTCTGCGGTTCCTACCAGGCTCTGGTAGGAAGTATCCAGTACAGGAAGAGATTCCATATTTATACTCTCAGCTACAGCAGGCCCCTGTAGCCCAGGCTATGGGTCTCCACAACGAGGTGGAGGCCCCCTCCACTTTCTCAGTAGCCAGACCTCTTAGAACTGAGGCGGGGGGTGTGCAGTGGGGGAGGATATGGTTACGGCTGTGCTCTTTGGGATTTGGGGAGGGAAGATTTGGCTTGCAGGACTGGAAAGAACTGCTTCCTTCTCTTCTTCCCCCTTTCTTCCCCATCTCAGGTTCATGGATACCTGGGGCCCCCAGGGCTGTGGAAATATGAGTAGGGAGGGGGGAGAAAGGGGTTCAGGGTGCACTGTGGACCCTCTAGGGAGTGACTGAGCTCCTTTTCAGGAGGATGGCTGGGTCGCCAGCTGGCCTTGGGAATGGGAGTGGATGGGCAGAGGGCTGCCTCTTGGGCTGCTGGGGCAGGATCTCCTTGTCACCTCCCTTTGTGCATCCTGACTTTGCTGACCCACTAGCTGCCCACGGCCTACGAGAGGAGCCCGAGTTTGTGACTGCAAGAGCCGGTGAGAGTGTGGTCCTGCGATGCGACGTGATTCATCCGGTGACGGGACAGCCCCCGCCCTATGTCGTGGAGTGGTTCAAGTTTGGGGTGCCCATCCCTATCTTCATCAAGTTTGGCTACTATCCACCTCACGTGGACCCTGAGTATGCAGGTAAGGTCTAGGCTGCAGGAGCTCCCCCTGCCCCACCCTATCATCTCTTCTGCCGGTTTTAGCATGGCTGGCCTTCTCTTCAGTGGTCATGGTCACTGTTCCTCCTGCCTATCTCTCTGTTGCCACTTATCTTTTTACAACTGGTCTGTTATCTGTGCTGCACAGTCTCTGCCTCTTTCCTTCCATCCTTCGGACTTCGGTAGGTTTTAATTAAGTGGTGGGGAGGAGAGGGACCAGGTGATGCAGACACAAAGATCACAGCACAGTTAGGGATGTGCAGGGGCAGGAGCAGTGGTAAGGACAGGGAAGCCTACAGAGCCCACCATGTAGGACAGTAGGGCTGCGCTGAAGGGCAGCTCTGTGCAGGAAGAAGCTGAGTCAGAGCCCTGCTGCCCTTGGCCAGGCATGCTGGCAGCAGCTGTGGAGTTTGCTCTGTCTGCCTTGGCCCACTCCCTGCCTCTGGCTCTGAAGTTGGGGCCTCATCCCATCCCTGAGTGGAAGCAAACATTGGGGGCTAGTTCGTGCCATACGGTGGGCACCTGCTTTCTGCCTCCTCTGCCACGCCAGCCTCCTTCCTCCGGGCGCCTTGGGTGTCTTGCTCTGCAGTTGCTCCTGCCAGCAGGGGCCTCGCTCTGAGTCACTGCCAGTGCCTGACCACCAGCCTGCCTGGCTGGAGGAAGGAGAGTGTGAGGTGTGTATGTGTGTGACTGTGCTTATGTGAACATGAGTGTGAGCATGTGTGTGTGTGCATGAATGCATGTGTGTGCTGGGATTTTCAAAGGAAGGCAGGAAGCTGGCAGACTTTGCTTTTATCTTTACTTCTGGCTCCTGAGGTCTGAATTGCATTTCGCCCAGAAAGTTCCATTTCTCTCTCTCTCTCCCTCTTGGACCTATCTCTTATTCTCTTTTTGTTTGTGGTTGGTTTTGACATTCTGGTCTTTAGGCAGATTGCCAGTATTGAGACAGGATGAAAACAGAGACAGTGGTGACATTGGATTGAGGGGTGAGCTAAGGTGGTGGGTGAGGGAGGGGCGGGCCCTGAGGGCTGCTCCTCATCTTGGACTCCCATTCCACTTGGCTCCTGCTGCATCTCTTACCTTACCATCACCATGAATGAGACAAATATGGCTTCCTAATGGGGAAGAGGATGGAGTTAAGGAGAGTAGATGGCGGGGGGAGGGACTTTGCTCTGCTTGCCGGTCCTATCCTCATTCTCGGGCCTATGGGCCCTACTTCTCAGCTCCTGGGGACATTGGGCTCTGGCTAGATGAGCAGTCTGTCTGGCCTGGGCAGCAGGACTGGGAGGGGACCCCACCACTCTGGTCCCTGTGTGTCCTCCCTCTGCTTTATCATAGGGAAGCCTGGCAGACAGGTGCAGGGGGTGAGGACCCAGGGGGGAGAGGGATGTCACTCAGCCTGAAATGAGGTTCAGGGGTCTGCTCTAGGGTCCCCTACCTCACCCTCTTCTGTTTGTACCTTTGTTCCCTCTCTTGCTTCCTCCCACTCTCTTTTGTCCCTCATGCCTTTCCTTTGTCCCAAGAGATCTGTAGCAGGACAGGAGTATTCCAAGGGACTGAAGCTCTTCCCAGTGCCAAACCCAGAGTTACAGTTGCAGCTGGGTGGGACCAACTGAGGCTGGGAGAATAGCTCCATGGCTGGGCTGTGCGCCTTTCCCTTTGCCACCTGCTGCCTGGGGTTGGTGCCGGCTGTTACTTTGGGGCCATGCGATGGGAAATGGTCCGAAGGTTACAATGGGTCCTCTGCCTTTGGCGGGTGTTGTGTTGCTCACCCCACCCTGACGGCCTCCTGGGCTTTTGCCCACTGTCTTCCTGCAGGCCGGGCAAGCCTTCATGATAAAGCATCCTTACGGCTGGAACAGGTCCGCTCTGAGGACCAGGGCTGGTACGAGTGCAAAGTGCTCATGCTGGATCAGCAGTATGACACCTTTCACAATGGCAGCTGGGTCCATCTCACCATCAACGGTGCGTATGGGGCTCACTCCTGGGGACGGGTGGGTGGGGAGCCACCTGGACGGCTATACCCCAAGGACCTGCTTTGGGGAAAGCCTCTTTCCTGACTACCATATCCCTGCTTCAAATCTCTGCTGCAAAGAGGAGTCAGCAGGGCTGGGCCCCATTGAGTTAGCAGTTCCCACCTCTTGCTTCCCCCTCAGTTGTCTCCCTAGAGCTTCTGGGGTCACTGGAGGCACACGGGAGGTGCAGCTCCTCAGGCATGAGGCAGGGTTTGCTGCAGGTGTTGGCATCGGAGCTCCTTACAGGGAGGTCAGAATCTGGTTCTTGAAACCAGAGGGTTAAGGCTTTGTGGAGGCCAAATTTGTATCTGCTGGCTCCATTTCTCAACCTTGGGAAGACCCTGCTAGCCCAGGAAATGCCTTCCCACTCTAGTGGGATTCCTGGACTTCCACCATGACAGTTTTCCTTTTTTAGGTGAATATTTTGGTTCCTTGTTAAATATGTTCATTTGAGTGACATGCAGTGAGGGTCTGTTGTGTGCCTCGCCCACACCAGGTGATGGGAAAACAGTGGTGATGAAGCCCAGACATGGTCCCTGCTTGTACTGGGTTTACTGTCCAAGGAAATGTAAGGATCCTGTGAAGAGTAACCATTTTAATGGCTATCAGGTGTTGATAGCTCACATGAAATGAATTGGCGCTGTATGTTGATGCTTTTCACGCGTTTGCAGAGGCCTCAGGCCCAGTTCCCAGTGCTGGTGAAGGCTCCGGTCTGGGTCTGAGGCTGTGACCACACCAAGCACTGGACCTTGTGTGTGTCCCCAGATGGAGAGTCTCTCTTGTGTCCCTGGGAGTCCTTACTTGGGAGGAGATACTCTGGAGGAGCCAGAAGAAGCTGGAACCGTGGAGAAAAATCTGGAGAAGTGGCATATATGCTTTGGATGTGCCACACACAGCTTGGGTCCTTATGGTTGTGATGTCTGTGACTATAGATGCTGTGGGTGGGAGAGAGAAATTGATGTCGTTCCTGGCTTGGAAGCTTCTGATGGTATCGATCTGCTCTGAAGAACGACTTTGTCTGCCCTGTCTTGTGGGGTTGGATCATTCCTCCCATAGGAGTCAGGCCATGCTCCATGGCTTGAGAACCTCTCCAGGGTCCTGAAAGAACAGACTATTTTAGCCAGGGCACTGGTCTCTTAGCCATTGCGGTTCTAGAACAGTGTTTGTCCAGACTGCCCAACCCGTTCAATGCAGTTGGCTCCTGTCAGTTAGTCCCAAGAGACTGTAGGCTTATTTTAAGTCTCCGGTGGGCTGTCCCCACCACACAGCAAGCTTTTGAGTCACCTCCTTTTGATGCCAGCTGTTGTGTGTGCCGAGAATGAAAACTCATCTTAATATTAGCCCAAGCAAAACATAATTAGGAAGGTAAATCGGCTGCTAAAAGCTTCACTGACTGAACACTGAGCCAAGAGTTCCCACGTTGGTTTCTGTCTCTCTGACACCCTTCCAAAGCTGGGCTGAAATCCTGACCCCCTTTTCTTTTCATGTTATCCTCGCAGTGTCCATTCAGCAACCTGAGACATCAGGGGCTCAGTAGGCGCTCACATGACAGCAAAGTAGAATTTAGTTAAGAATTGTGTGTTCTGCTATGTCCCTGCATGCATGAGTGGGAGTTGATTCTTTGAGAATTCCTAATTGCTTAGAGTGGAATGAGCATGGGACAAGACCCTGAGAAGGTTTGGTTTATTTCACTAACTCACTGCATTCATTTCATGAATCCAATAGCTGTAGGATCCCAAGTAAGTCTCTGAGCATCAGCTTCCGGTGCCTATTTGCGGAGGTGTTGTGAGGATCAGATGAAATGCTGTGTGAGAAAGCATCTTGCAGTGTCTGGAACGTTAATTACATGTGGGTCAGCTGCTGGCCATCCTCTTTCTCAGGAGAGAAAGAAGATGAAATCAGATGAGCGTGTAGTGGCAGGGAGGCAGGAGCACGGGAAGATCCTCAGACTGGAAGATGCAGAGGACTGTGGTAGTTGGAAAGTGGTTGTCAATTCACAACACATCTTGAATCCTGGCTTTTAGTATTTACATGAGTAACGTGTATATCCTGGGCTTGGAGATCAGACTGGAGTGCTCCTTGTAAATCTTGTAAATAAAGAGAAGTAACACACATACATATACACATCTTGAATGTTTTCTCTGTGGCAGGCTCTGGGGACACAGCAGTGGACCCAACCCAGACCTAGCTCTTAAGGAGACTTTCAGAGGCAGCAAGTCCAGGGACAATTGCAATATGGGCTTTGGGAGAACAAAGGAGGGAGAGCTTCTCTGAGGGAATGACTCCTGTGTGCAGACATGTGACTAGGGAGTTAGCCAGGTGCAGGGGTAGAAGGTACAGAAGGATAGTCCAGGCAGAGGGAACAGCATGCCTGGAAGCCCAGAGAAAGGAGAGTCAGTACATTCACGGAGGTGAGGCTGGTTGTTCATAGGGAAGTGTTGGGCAGAATAGCTAAGAATGCTCCCCTCTCTGCCCCAGGTTTCAGAACTAGAGCTTACCATAGAATACTTTGCCCTTACCAAGAAACCCACCTCCCAAATGGGGAGCACAGAACAGATACCTATTCCCCCCCTTCCTTTCACCCCGAGTTCTGGGGTACCTTCCAGCATAAATATTTCCATTATGGAAGGAAAGAGTCTGGATTGCCAGCATTCCATTGCTTCCAAACTAGAATGTTTAGTGTCAGGCATTTTCTGACAGAGATCACCTTTGGAAAATGAAAGGCCAGGGAAAATTAGAATTACAAATGGTCTCATTCCCCTTCTGTGTTTTCCTGAAGACCAGTTGGGTGGAAACAAACCCAATTATTCCTGATCACGTATAAAAGACCCAAAAAGCCCAAGCCAAGTCTTGATTTAGATTGGTGAATTACTTGGAGGAGAGGCCAGCCTGTTTCTAACCTGCACTATTAATTATAGGGCACTTGTAAAAAAGAATTAAGCCTGGAAATGCAGCTGGCAAGCTAACACCTAATTCTGTAAATAATCGAGAGTCAAACCATTATTTTCCTGAAAACTCGAGATTGTTCAAAGTACTTTCCTGATTAGCACCTAAATAATAAAGTAATTATGTAATTAGTAATTAATTTGTCACTTCAGGACGTAATTTAATTTGTTATCTTTTCTTTTAAGCTTGACACCAAAGGTAATAGAGGCTGAGGCTGCATTAGCTATATTTCAAGGGGCAGACTTGGCAAGAGGGGTTCTGTTGGAGATGAGAACACATTCTATTTCAGAAGTTGGGAATTCAGAATCTCCGTATGAGGATTTGGAATGTTTTTTGCCATCATTTTTATTGTATTAGATGTTGGATGAGGATTGCCATGCTTGCCGGTGTCCATTGTGTATGTTTCGTGTGTGATGAAGTGTGCTTCCTAATTCACTCAGTATATCCAGTTCCCCTTGTATGCCCACACTAGGCTAAGGGTGTTGGAAATAATCGAAGAAAGCAGTCTTGTCATGATCTCGCTCCCGGGAAGTTTTGTGTGTTTGAATTTGTGTTGGTTTGTAGGTGTGTGTATGTGTGTATATTAAGTTCAGTCATCCATTCAACATATATGTGTTGTGTGCTCTGTTACATGCCAGGAACTGGGAGAAAAGCCGGGCATGCAGTGGGATTTACAGAAAAGGTCTTTGTTTTCAGGGAAAGTCAGTGATCACTGCTTTAAAGAAAATAAAGCAGTCCAAGGGGATAGAGAGTACTGGCAGTGCTATCTTAGATGGGTTGACCACTTAAGGCAGAGGTGGCATTTTAGCAAAATTTTGCATGAACCAAAGGAGTGAGGTCTGGGTACAGAGAGGATGGCAAATGCAAAGGCCCTGAGGTTGTGTGTTCTTGGCACATTCAAGGAAGACAAAGATGGCCAGTGGGGTTAGAGCACAGTGAAGGGGGTATGTGGTAGCAGACGAGGTTGGCAGACTGAGGGGGAGGCAGGACCAAATACTGAAGCTCTCTGACTGGTTCTCAGGGCAGCACTGTGTGGACAGGTGACATCCACCTCAAAGCTTCTCATAGATGCCTCAGAGGTTTCCAGGGAGATGATAATGATAAGAGTAATGACAAAATAACCAGCATTTCACACGTATTTACATTACAAGATCCCTTTCACAAACTATCTTACTTACTCCTCACCTCAGTCCTGGAGGGGGGCAGATTTAGGTAAAACCCAGAGAGGCTGAGTGACTTGCCCAGGGTTACCCAACAAGTGGCAGGTTAGCACTTTAACTTGGTCTTGACCTTTGGGTACCTTAAGATGAGCTAAAAATGTCCTGCCCCAGCCTGGCATTGTGAACCCCAGGGCTGGTGTTCAACAGTGGGGCCCCTCCTTGTCACCTCAAAAGCACTGATAGTCCAACGGGTTAAGATTGACCTGATTGCCTATGAAAGCAGCTCAGACTAATGAGGCTGAGTCTCTTAACAGCTGATTATCCAAACAGGATGGGATTTTAGTCAAAACTCCAATCAATGCAAGTCGTGATGTGGGGATAACCTGGCATAATCAGAAGAGAATTGAGAAGGGGGTAACCTGCAGAGCAGGCTGTCTTTCTGCCTGGACGCAAGAAAGGGTGGAAGGTTTTCTTTGCAGAATCTGGAAACGTAAGAGTCCTTGTAACCATGGCCTGTGGTCTATGTTAGGCCTAGATGACGCTCAGATAGAAGACATCCTGGAAACGGGGGGCCTGGCTGGGCTGAGGTTAAGGAAATAGGCGTATCAGTGATGATCTTGAGGTGAAAGGGGGATCACAGAACAGTTTGGAGCTGTTGGCAAGTGTGTGCAGGCCGTGAGAAAGCTGTCTTGTTTATTGCTCTGTCCTTAGAGCTAAGCGTAGTAGCCTCCTTATAGATGCTCAGCAAACATTTGTTTCTTGGGAATTAGCCAAGTACAGCGGGAGAAGTTTAGAATTTGCACCCAGCCAGACTGACTTTGAATTTCAGGTCTCTCCTCCCCCGGTAAGACTCATGGGCAGACAATTTTGCCCATCTCCCTCTTCCTTCATTTATCCCAGCACTTTGCAGAGGGTTATCTATGAACACGTGGATGTGGTGCTTGGTGTGTGTGGGTGCTGTACGTGGGGCAGCAGGCTGGCTAACCCCACCCTGGGTCTCTCTGCAGCTCCTCCCACCTTTACAGAAACACCCCCCCAGTACATTGAGGCCAAGGAAGGTGGCAGTGTTACCATGACCTGCACAGCTTTTGGAAACCCCAAGCCCATTGTCACCTGGCTTAAGGAGGGGACACTCCTAGGTGCTAGTGGGAAATACCAGGTAAGTGTGGTTCTCCTTTGGGGCTGCTGTACTTCTTCCTCCTTGCTCACCCTTCCTTTGCCTCCTCCCTCTCCATGGCAGCCTCCCACTTCACGTGACTGGTAACACTCTGCACAGCACACAGTCTGGCTGGTGTCTGGTTGGAGGGAGATGGAACACGAAGTGCCTGGCTCCATATCCCCCTAATGCATGAGCCCTAGGTCCATCTATACCTGGGGGTGGTGCTGGTGGGACCCCAGGGTGGGTGCTGAGCTCTGTCTCTCCTTGGCCCCAGGTGAGTGATGGCAGCCTCACAGTGACATCGGTCAGTAGGGAGGACAGAGGTGCCTATACCTGTCGTGCATACAGCATCCAGGGAGAGGCTGTCCATACCACTCATCTGCTTGTCCAAGGTAAGAGCAGTTTCTCTCCTCTTCATGCCCTGGGCCTTTTGCAGGGACTTTCAGCCCATCTGAGCTGTAGAAGGGTTTTCCCTAGGCATGGCTGGCCCAGCTGGGGCGGCTGGGGAGATGGGCAGCCTATGAGTAGTGGGGCCGGCTCCTCCTGAGTATTGTGCGGCTCACAGCCAGAGCCCCTATGGTGGCCTGCTGTGGCCATCACCTGGGATGGTGGAAGGCACTATGTTGAGTGGGTTTTGGGTTTCTCTCTCTGTCCAAATGGTGTCCTGCCATGCCTCCATCTTCCCCGGGGGAGGGGACCTCTCTCAGGTTCCCACCCCATTAGTGATGGCATCAATAAATAACGACAGGAACTCAGTGCAAACCTCAGACGTTTAAACAACACAGAGGGCATTTTGCAGACCCGGGGTCTGCCTGGTCAGCACTGGGAAATGCCGGTCCACCCGGCCTAGGGCCCCAGAGTGCCCCAGAGGGTGCGCATCTGGGAGGCGGGGTCTCTTTGTACTTTTGTGCCGAGCCCAGCCACTCTTTGCCTCCCACCCACTGCATGCCGGAAGAAGAGCGAAGGCTGGGGGTGGCTGTCTAGGCTGCCGGGGCTGCTAAGACACGTGTTCTTTCTGCCTTCTTCTGACTTGGAGTGTTGAGTGGCAGTGTGGGCCAGAGGTCCCTCTGCAGCTTGGAGAAGAGCTGCCTTCTCAGGAGAGAGCCAGGTGGTAGCTGTGGACTGTCCGGAAAGCCAGCACCAGGGAGGGCTGGGATTTCACCTGCTGTTGACTCTGCTTGCCCCCTGGCTCTTCGCTCTACATCTGCCCTCCTGACCTCTGGCAGATAAGCAGCACAAGCCTCTCAGCTCCTTCAGAGGCCAGATGACTCCTTGCTCTGGATTGAAAAGAATGGCCTTTGTCCCTCCTGCATGTGCCCTGCTTCTGTTCTGCTGGAGAGAGGGATGGGCAGGAAGGGGTGTGTGTGTGTGTGTGTGTTAGGGAAGTTAGATAGCTGGCTTGGGGTGCCAGGATTTACAGAGGCTGGGTGCATGGAGGCGAGGGACACACATACACCAAAAGAGGTGTCTCCAGCTGGTTCAAGGGGCTGGGGCACGCTGTGACCACATCCCAGGACCCTTTGCATCTTGGACCTGTAAGGAGAGTAAGACCTGAGCACAGCAGCAGCTAGAAAGATACCTAGGACAGCTGCCCAGCATATGCTGTTCCTCTTGGGCCAGTGCTGCCCTCCAACTCCCTCCCAGAGTTCTGGGCACACCTTCCTGAGTCATCTCAGAACTTCCTGGGAGGACCCCAAGCTGTCGTGCTCTCCTCCTGCACCAGGTAAGGTCATGTTTATTTCCTCTTTCCCCAGGGCCTCCCTTCATAGTTTCCCCTCCTGAGAACATCACTGTCAACATATCCCAGGATGCTCTGCTCACCTGCCGGGCAGAGGCGTATCCCGGCAACCTCACCTACACCTGGTATTGGCAGGATGAAAACGTCTACTTCCAGAAGTAAGCATGCTGCCCCGCCCTCCCGGGGCAGGGGGAGCTGTGGTGGTCCTCAGCCACCAGGCCTCCCAGGCGCAAGGCCTTTGAGCAGGGGCTGCCATGGGCTGCCCTTGGGCTATGAGAGCTTACAGAGAGGCTATCCAGTCTGTCCCAGGTGCAAGGCCAGTGTCTGCACAGAGCGGCCTTGAAAGGGGCCAGGAATGCGAGGAAGTGCTGGCTCTTCTTGCCTCATTGGCAGGGTGAGGGGACTCTTTGCTGCCTTGCTGTGCTGGCTCATGGAAGACCTTCTTCCCTCCATGCCAACTCCTGCCCTTCCTTGTCTCCTTGTTTGTTTGCAGCGACCTGAAGTTGAGAGTGCGGATCTTGATTGATGGGACCCTGATCATCTTCCGAGTGAAGCCTGAGGATGCGGGGAAGTACACATGCGTCCCTAGCAACAGCTTGGGGCGCTCCCCCTCTGCCTCAGCATACTTAACTGTGCAGTGTGAGTAGGTGTGAGGGAGAGCCACACATGGTAGGGGTTCTAGAAGAGACAGGCTTCATTAGCTGGACTGGATGCTGGAGGACAGCAGGAGACCGAGGGTCATTTGAGGGAACGTGGGCAGAGGAATGACAGGAAGCAGGAATAGCCCAACAGGAGGGCGAGACCTGGACTGGTCAATTGAGGTGAAACTAGCACTTGCTGGGCATCTTTTTTGGGCCAGGCATTGCTACACGTGTTGGCTGATTCATTCCATCAGCCAAGTTGGGTTGGATTCAAGGATGGGCAGACCTGAGTAATTGTCCTTGCAGTCAGTGCTAGCCAGCACCTCTCTCTGGACTGTGAACAAGATGTCTTTGGTGCCTTTTTTCCCCTCAGGTATATGAGGGAGGGTAGGTGACACTGACACAGGGTTAGATTTCTTGTCAGCTCTCCGCCTTCCCCCACTGTGGATAGGTGTGAGGTGAGGGGGACAGGACCCTCTTCTGTGGTGACTTGATCTAGTTCTGCCAACACCTGGCTCCCTCCTGGCTTTCTCCTTGCTCTTCTCTAGGGCTGCCAGAGATCCACACGGATGAGCTGCTCCTCATGCCAGCACAATCGAGGGCTTTTGTGCAAGCACAATAATTCAGTTTGCTAATCTTGAATCCGTCAGCGTAGTCAATGCTTTCCCATCCCCTGGCAAGCTGATCATTGTGAGAAAGGGAGAGAAGGATGAGTAATGAGGATTAATTTCTTCCGTTTGATTTGTGGATGGCCCTATCACTCAGACAACAAAGACGCTGGGATGTTACTGGAGGTGACAGGCTCTCCATCACTGGAGGGCTGGTGTGGGAGAGCCGCTCACCCCCAGGGGCGTGCAGCAGCAGGGGTACAAGGAGGACGGGCTGGAGATGCCTGGATCAGCATTTGAGCTGAGAACAAGCAGAAGAACAGTTGGTGATCCCAGGAGGTGGGGCTGGTCTCTGAAGCCACGCTGCAGAGCTGGGTGTTTGCACTTGTCTCCTGTCGAATGGGTGCCTGGGTGATGGAGCCTGGCTGGACCTTTGAGCTCCGCTCAGCTGCTAACCTCACATTCTCATCGTTTTCTTCTCGATGCAGTAACTTTACTGGCGGGGACAAAGGCAACATTTCACCATTTCCATGGTCGTCAACCTAAAAAGGCTTTCAGCACGCTACATTAGGAAGTCTCGAGTTTTTAAGGGCTATGAGGCCCAAGAAAAGTGATGTGATGTGACCCAGGACATCAGGCCTGTCTCACCTAGACCTGCAGGAGGAAAAAGCCAGTCAAGAAGCTATTTGCATAGGACTTGCTGGATGTGAAAGGGCCGGGGGAAGGGAAGAGTCCACTTGTAGTAGCATCTTGTCTGGCTATGTCACTTGGGCAAGAAGGTGGCAGTGGCAGAGGAAGAAAGCCAACAGGGGTGGTCTTTAGAAGGATCATGAATCTAACCAGGACTAAGCCCCCCATTGGTGAAGCCCTGGGCCATTTTTCTGTCAAGAGGGGTATGTGGTTTCCCTATCTGTCCCCAGTGCCATCACCCACTCCTGCTTGTCCTTTTTTACCTCCTTCTTGTCTTCAAAGAGAATCCAGGGGGTGAGATTTTCAGGTGGGTGAGACAAGGATCTTTATTTCTGCTAAAAAGCAGTGTTCAGAGTATTTCCCATTCATAAACCCTTTGAAAATCTTGGAGGAAAAAAAAAAAAAACTCTACATACAAAAGTAGGAAGCTATGTCTAAATATATAACTCGGCCTGGTATTTATGTAATGCTGTTCTCTGAAGAGCTCCAAATGCTTAAAAGATACCAGCTCATTCATCCTCACTGCCTCACTGGAAGTTCTGGATCTTTCTCCTTGGTAGCCCTCGGAGGGAATGAGGAGAATCGAAAGGTTATGAGTCCCCCACATCACAGGATGTGCTGCTCTTGCTTCTCTCCTGAGAACCTTTCATCTGTTCTGTGGCCAATGTTGAGTCTGCATTCCAGCTGCACAGAGGGGAAACTGAGGCTCGGGGGGTGGTGGTGGAGCTGGGCAACTAGCACAATGGAGAGGAGAGAAAAGAACCAGCAGTGGTCATGCCTCTGAACACCTCATGCATAGAACTGACGTTCCTCTTTTGGCTTAGGATGTGGACCGAGAGCTGTTTGGCATCCAAGAGAGATTTGGGATAAGGAGCCATTGGCGGAGGGTGTGGTCAAGCGTTGACTTCAAGTTTGGAGTCTAGGGGCTGGAGATACAGACATCGAGAGTCCTTGTTCTACTTGTTCTGCCATTCATCCCATGCGTAGAAGCGTTTGAGGAGTGTTACAGATCGGAGCAGGCTAGAACATGCTTTTCTCTTGAAGAATGCAGTCGGCTGGACAGAGAAAGCAGCCCGCAGCCTGCACTGCTTTGGGGTGGCCTGATGTGGCCTCTGGGGTTTGTCCATCTTGTTCCTCATGGTGGTCCCGGCACCTGGCACTGTTGTGAGCACCATGGACACATGCAGAGTTTACTGAATGGGTGGGTGGGTGTGAAGGGCAGTTCCTCGGAGAGACAGTATCTGTATGAGACCCTGAGGGTGTGTGAGGGGTCTTGGCCCCCTGCCAAGATTTCTCACTCCTCGACTTCCCTCATGCCTTTCTTCTCTCTCACCCCACACGAACCCTGTGCAGACCCAGCCCGTGTCCTCAACATGCCCCCTGTCATCTACGTGCCCGTGGGAATTCACGGCTATATCCGATGCCCTGTGGATGCAGAGCCACCGGCCACCGTGGTCAAGTGGAACAAGGATGGCCGCCCCCTGCAGGTTGAGAAGGTGCTAGAGAGATGCATGTGGGGTCACAGTGAAATACAGTCTCTTGCCACTGAGATGCTGCCTCTGAGGGTTTGGTTCCCTGCCAGGACTCCTCCACTTTCCACCAGAAAACTCTGGAGAAGCAGAGCTGCTTCCGGTGGGGGGGTCTGCAGTCTGGTGCAGCTTCTGCCATTCTCCCAGGACACGTAGACAGCCCCTGCCCCAGACTAGCTGGTGCTTTGCCCAGGCCTGCCAACTGAGGTCTGGCCTGGTGGGGGCCAGGACCGAGCTTCTGCACCCTGACCGTTGCTCCCTGCTCTGCTGTCTGTGCTCTGGCAGAACCTGGGTTGGACCTTGATGGAGGATGGCTCCATTCGGATTGAGGAGGCCACAGAGGAGGCTCTTGGCACTTACACCTGTGTGCCTTACAACACCTTGGGGACCATGGGCCAGTCTGCTCCCGCACGGCTTGTCCTGAAGGTGAGGCCTGGGGCTGAGAGAGGCCCCTGTGGGAGTGGACACCAAAACACTCGACTTCATGGCTTTGCTGTGGTCTCCCTAGGATCCCCCGTATTTTACGGTGCTACCAGGCTGGGAATATAGGCAGGAGGCTGGCCGGGAGCTGCTCATTCCCTGCGCTGCTGCAGGGGACCCTTTCCCTGTCATCACGTGGAGAAAGGTACCTCTGGGTTCTGGAGCTCCTTTGAAGTGTGCTGGATGGGCAAGATCTGTGGTGGCTCTGTTCTAACAGAGCCAGGTGCTGAGTAGCAGGGCTGACTTCTAGAGTGATGGGCCCTCTGGAGGAGGGGTGGTGGGGGTGCAGGCAGAGTGCTCGGATTCTGTTCTGTTCTTGGCCTTCTGATGTGTTGGTGGCTTCTCTTCTTCCCTGTCGACCTGGTTCCTCCTTTGCCACCCCGCTCCCACCTTCCTCTTTGCCCCCTTTTTGGCCAAGGTAGGGAAGCCCAGCAGAAGCAAGCACAATGCCCTGCCCAGCGGGAGTCTCCAGTTCCGAGCCCTGAGTAAGGAGGACCACGGGGAGTGGGAGTGCATCGCCACCAACGTGGTCACCAGCATCACTGCCAGTACCCACCTGACCGTCATCGGTACGGGGGCTGTGGGCAGGAGGGCTGTGGTCTGGGTGCTGGGCACTGTCCACCCTTTCTGGGCATCTTTCCTGAATCAGCCCACCCCTGAGCCCGGAGCCTGCCCTGTGTAGCCCTAGCCCTCTGTAACACCCTGCATAAGGGAAGGTGATATGGGGCCTGTCCCGGGGAGGTCTTTTTCTGGCAGAATGTACCCAGCAACACTGCCACACAGAAATGGGGCAGGTGTGTGGGCAGGAGCAACTGCTCAGAGGTTTGTGTCTAGGGCCTAGAAGGGGAGCTGGAAGAACGGAATGAGGGGGATCTGGGAGGGGACCTGTGCGCTGAGCTCCATAGGCTGGGCCTGGCATGGAGGTTCCTGGCGTTCCCATTTCCTGGGATGCCAAGCATTATGATTCCACTTCTTCTGCCTGAGGTGTGTGTCCCTATGACCTCAGCTTGTACCATTGTAGCCTGCCTCTCTGGGGACTGACAGTTGTAACAGTGACCAACACTTTTCAGCGTTTACCACCAGTTTTAGGCTCTATACCAAGTGTGCCCCATCATTTATAACCTATGAGGCGAGAACTGGTAAGTCCCCAGTGTACGTCCATTTGAAACCAAGGCTGGCGTGGATGGCACACCTCTCCGAGCATCGCTGATGAGTGCTGGATCCAGGACTCGAACCCAAGTTGAAGTTCTTAACAGTTGTGTTGTGCTGCCTCTCACTTTGATGTTTGGGAGAAATATGGCTATCTCATGAAGCCAGAGAACTTTACCGGACAGGGGCTTTTTGGCTTTGCCTGTGACCTTCAGGGAGAGTGTCTCTGTGTTTGCCAGGGGAGCACAGGACTTTGGCCTGGGGTGACAAAGGTTCTGGATTCCCTTTGGCCATTTTCCTGATGCTCACCCCACGTCTTGCTAGAAGGACTAGACGGCACAGGGGGACGGGTTTCCTTCTACAGCCCTACTGCGCAGGGCGTCTGCTCCTCTGAGCATCCCTCGCCCCTGAGCACTGCACTTGGGGCACTGCATTTTGCTACTGCGCAGTGCCACTGTGGGTGCCCAGCTCCCTGGGCCCAGTTCATTTCAGTCTGAGAGGACTTCACTTGGTCTCCAGGCACCAGCCCCCATGCCCCGGGCAGTGTCCGGGTCCAGGTCTCCATGACAACTGCCAACGTGTCCTGGGAGCCAGGCTATGATGGAGGATTCGAGCAGACATTCTCAGTTTGGTACGGACCTCTGTGAGTCACCCCCGCATGCTTTGCTCTCTGCTTCTCCCTCCCCCAACCCCCGACTTCAGTCAGTCCCCTAGGGTGGGTGGACGTTAGGAGAAGGATATGGTTCTTCGCCTGCTAGACCTCCAGGCAGCGAGGTGTGTTGATGCAGTGACTAGGTCTTGTGGGGGAGGGGTGTATCTGTCTGAGGGATTTTGGGCATTCTGCATTCCCAACCTGGAAGGTTTGGGATGCCAGTTTAAGTTGTCATCTGAAGTGACCATCGCCCTCTGCTACTCTTCCCCAGCTTATCTCACGACCCCTTTTTGTGTCCTTCGTTCATGCTGCTTTTAGGTCCCTCTGTCCTCTGGAGTCTGGAAGAGACTCCTAGACTTCAAGGTCATTGTGAAACAGCCCAGCCAGAAGCATAGAATCTAATTTTTATTGTCACTTCCCCACTTTGAAGTGGTGCCTGCCTTCTGGCCTTGTCTTCAGCATTTCCATTTTCTGTAGGACCCTGTGTCTCTAGTATGTTTCTATCTCTGCTGTTAATTTGGCCAAATGTAGTGGTTTGAGATCTTTGCCTGAGCCTCAGGGTAGGTAAGGGATCTCAAAGACGCATAAATCAGGCTGAGGTCAGGAGGCACAGAAAAGGTGGAGAGAGGAACCATAGCTGACCTCCTTCTTGTTCCCCAAGGATTTCTCTTCCCACACATTCCTATCCTGAGCCAGGAACTGGCCACCTGCAGCGTGGGACATCCTTGAGCAGGAAGGATGAGTCCTCCCACTTCCTCCTTTTCAGACCTGCCTCATCTGGGTGTGTATTCCCAGTCAGGCTCAACCAGAGCCTGGGAAGGAGGAAACATCCCTGCAGAGGGCGACTGGTGGAAATTCAGGGAGAACCCTTCTCAATAGCAAGGGAGGTTGAAAGGCAGCTGCCCTCTTTGCCGTCATGGTGATTTGGTGGCTATGTCCTGAATACACGAGGGGTTTTGAGTTCTGGAGAGACACAATGCATCTGTATGGTGAGCATGGGGAGCTCTCTAAGGTGCAACCAGAACATCCTCCAACGCTTATCTCTGGTCCTCCAGAGGTGGGGAGCGGTGGCGGCCTGGGGGAAGGGGGTGCTCCTGACAACCCTGCCAGGGGACCACTGCAAGAATCTTGGTGCTGCTGGGTGGCTGTGTGTTCAGGGAAGTGCGTTTGGCATGGCCAAGCCAACTTCGGGGGTGTCCGAGTGGCAGGTCTGGGCCTAGACCAGGGTCTCCCTCACTGCTTGCGGTCCTGCTCCACGCTGCTGCTCATCTGCACCGCTTTGTTACACTTTGCTCACTTGCTTTGGTGCCCGGGGCTGGGTTGGGGGTGCGGGTGGTTGTGAAGTTTGGGGAGGTCTCCTTCCCTCTCATTCTGATTGCCTAACTCTCCCAGTACTGACTCAGACATTTGGCACTAGCTTCTTTCTTGCTGTGCTTTCTGCTGCCTTGGCTCAAACTTCTGAGCATTCATGGTAGTGAGCCTTTAAACAGAGAGGGAACCCGGTGGGCGGGCGTCCGCTAAGTTACAGCTTGAGCTCAGGGCTGCAAGAAGAAAGCTGCCCAGGGTCTCAGTCTCCTAGGCTGATGTCTCCTCCCTGTGGTGATGCCGGGGCACTGCACCTGTAGATCCCAGCCTCAGTGCCTGTGGAGAGTTAGGTGGGCAGTATAGAACAAGGCCTAACCTTCACTCCTAGTTTCAGGGTTCTCCACGCACAGCGTGACCTTCCCCTTGATGGTGAGTTCTAACCATTGAGGCCTTAAGGACTGTGGTCCTCACTGGGGAAGCCCCTGGTTATTTTTGTCATATAACCTAGACTTCCTCAGAAGACTCAAAGCTGGTTGGACAGAGTGAGCCCTCCGGGTTACTTGACATCCCACTTTGGTTGTCCTGGAGAGGGTGTGCAGCTGAGGTCACCTGGGTTCTTTCCCTATAGGGTCTGCCATTGCTGAGTTGCTCATCCTCACCTTCCCATGATGGTACCTGCCTTGTTCCGTGTGTCCTGACTCTTTCAAGGCAGAGCTGCTCTCAGGGTTGTGACCAGGGTGAGATTCTCCCAGAATGCACTTGGTGGTTTGACCAGAATCTTGGGTGTCACTTCTACCTAAGGGTTCCTCTTAGCAGAGGAGGTATCAGCAGTGGCTGGCAATGTGGCATAGCCGAAGTTGGGTAGGTCATCCCACCTTGGTCATTACCTCTTTCTGTCCTAAAACCTGGGAAGACCAGGTTTGCCCACGGCCACCTCCTTGAGGACCTTGCATGTACTCTCGTGTCTCCAGTGTAACCCACCCCACCCCCTTGTCCCCGATCCTCTCTCTTTCTTTTGGCCAGGATGAAGCGGGCACAGTTTGGGCCCCATGACTGGCTGTCTTTGCCAGTGCCGCCGGGACCCAGCTGGTTGCTAGTGGACACCCTGGAGCCTGAGACAGCATACCAGTTCAGCGTCCTGGCCCAGAACAAGCTGGGAACGAGCGCCTTCAGTGAGGTGGTCACTGTGAACACTTTAGGTGAGGGCCCCGGGCTGGGATGTCTTGAGGATATTGCCTGGAGGAGCTGGGTAAGGATGGTAATGGTGGTGATGGTCCTAGCAGCTAACTTTACTGATTACTTTGTGCCTGACACCTTCCTATGTGCTTTACCTAATCATGTCATTTCCTCTCCCAGGAGGGACTTGTCATACCGTTCTGTGGGGTTTGCCTGGACCATAGTGCCTTGTCCCACATCAGAGCACTTTTGGACAGATTGCTGTTAAGGAAGAGGCTCAGCATTTATCCTTCCTTGTTAAGCCACATGTTTGTATCTTCCTGTGGCTTCACAGGGCAGGCTGGAAATCCTTCTTCCTTCTGTGCTCTTACCAATTCTTTCCTCTGGCCCTTGGCCTCATTTGGTGGCCGGTGTGTGGCCAGTTCTCCCCGTTGAATCTCCTAGCCATGCCACCTCTTCCTTCCTGGACCCAGTGGCTCGCTTCATCCCACCTCGAGAGCAGCTGTGAACAAGTGGCACCCCTCTAGCCTGTTCCTGGATCCTTTACTGCCAACAAGGGGTGCAGCAGTGTTGCGATGCTTACCCCTACTCTGGAACTTCCCTCCCTGGCCCTGTTTTCCCACCTGGGCCAAGAAGGCAATTGAGAGCAGACTGAGCTATGGGAAGGCATTCCTACTTCTTTAGAAGTAGATACATATTGTAGTATCTTCTTAAGATACTATCTTATCTAAAAGACTACATTTAATTCTTCCATCTTCCTCCCATGATTCCCCTTTGTTAGCTTGGTTTTTTCCCCCCTTTCCTTTTATGAAGAACTCCATTCCCTCATCTATGTTTTTAGAAGTGCTCAGAAAGTAGGATCATGTGGGCCACTTCCCTTGGGTGAGGAGGGCTCTTTTATGTGACAGTCTTGTCCCTGAAATGACTCATGCATGGGAATGTGACATGTTCTGAGGGGCACGTGCTGAGCCAGAAGACAGCATGTAGAGAGTTGAGGGAGCAGGGACCCTCAGCACCACCATGTCCCTTCTCTCTCTCTTCCCTCTGTGCTGTAGCATTCCCTATCACAACTCCAGAACCCCTGGTGCTGGTTACCCCACCAAGGTGCCTCACAGCCAACCGGACCCAGCAGGGTGTGCTCCTGTCTTGGCTCCCCCCTGCCAATCACAGCTTTCCCATTGACCGCTACATCATGGAATACCGTGTCGGGGAACACTGGGAGACGTTAGATGGTGCCATCCCAGGCACTGATGGAGAGTTCTTTGCCAAGGATCTGTCACAGGTGAGGTGCCTAGGTTTCCCTGCTGCTATTCCCAAATCCTGAAAGTGACATGACTCTGTGGAGTCACCAGCAGCTTTGAGTGACCCGTGTTAGGTGTATGAGGCGCAGCCATGTACTGCTGCCCCACACCAATTTCTTTATTCTCAGATCTGCTACCAAGATCTGGGATCTTCAGGTCATGGCAGCCAAGGTCCCACAGACTCAGGACCGGTGTGTGGCAGCATGGGCTTTTATTGCTGTGAGGGCTTTTCCACGTAAGCCGAGGCCAGGCAGGGATGCTGAGGAGCCCTGAATATGTCACTAGACAGTGACCTTAGCTCCCTGCTAGCAGTCTAACTTGGGCTGGGCAAAGAATTTCCCAGAAGGGTAGTCTTCTAGCTTTGTCCAGGGAGCACCCCTGCCTTAACAATTCAGAGTCCCCAGACCCCCTTTAAACTTAGATCTCTCTCTAGCTGGAGAGAGGAAGCAGCTTATTTCTTGGATATGGACAATCTCATCTGTCTTTCTGTCTTCCTTCCCTGGACACTCATTTAGTGGTAGAATTGGCTCATGGGGGCTCCTGAGAACCCATGTGTGCGTCTCTTTCCAACTCTGCTTTCAGTAACTTATAGTTGTAGATTGAAATCTGCCATGTTGGGAGTATTTTTACCATGGAAATTGGCAAATGCTACAGATCAGGACTTTTTTTTTTTTAAACTGAGAGCTGTTGTTCATCACTTCCAGTAGGCCACTGCCTTGGGTACACTGTAACATGAGAGATTGTTGCAGGGTGGGTGGGGGAGGGTCAGCAGTGGGTCATTCGCTGTCTCAGGTCCCTAGGCTGACAGGGTCTTGTCCTGGGGGCTGTAGGACACCTGGTACGAATTCCGGGTTCTGGCCGTCATGCAGGATCTGATCAGCGAACCCAGCAACATCGCCGGCGTCTCCAGCACAGGTACTTGAAGTGGGGGTTCTCTTACAACTGTAGGGTGTCTCCAGCACAGATACTTGGAGGGGAGGGGGGGAGAGGTTCTCTTACAGCTGTAGGGTGTCTCCAGCACAGGTACTTGGGGGGAGCTTCTTTTACAACTATAGGATGTCTCCAGCATAGGTACTTTGGAGGGGGAGTTCTCGTACAGCTGTAGGGTGTCTCCAGCACAGGTACTTGGGGGGAGCTTCTTTTACAACTATAGGATGTCTCCAGCACAGGTACTTTGGAGGGGGAGTTCTCATACAGCTGTAGGGTGTCTCCAGCACAGGTACTTGGTGGAAAGAGGTTCTTTTATAGCTGTAGGGTGTCTCCAGCACTGGTACTTGCAGGGGGGTGTGTCCTTAAAACTATAGGGAGTCTCCAGCTCAGGTAGGGAGGAGGTTCTCTTACAGCTGTAGGGCATCTCCAGCACAGGTACTTTGAGGGGGGAGGTTCTCTTACAGCTCTAGGACATAAGAGCCATGTGGATGCCCTTTGGGAGAGAGCTAATATGGGGAGGGAGGTTGAAATGGAAACAACTGAGAGCTCTGGTGGAGACTGAGTCTCATCATTTCTCAAGGCCCTCCAACCCATCCTTCTTCTCCCTTGATGGACAGGATTTCTCCAACTATAGAGCTGTATTTATGACACTTTCTATAAGATAGCCACAGGAAGAAATATAGCTAATCTTGTCATGATAGTAGTCATGAAGAACTTGATTTAAGTTCTTTTGTTATGAAATCCCTGTTTCCTCTAGTGCTATCCTCTGTAATGGACTGGGGTGGTGAATTGGAGAGACAACAGGTCAGCACATATTTGTTGAAGGCCTATTATAAGACTGCTTTATAATTATGGTGGTTTTATTTGGAAAATTGCTGTTTGGTGTTGTTTCCTCCACTCCTTCGTCTCCCTAGATTTTTTTCAGGCTAAATAAAGCCAACTCCCTAGCATTTTCCACATTTATCTTTCTTTCTCTTGGCCCTGATCCCATTTCTACACATTTCTCTAGCTACAGTTCCTGAAACATAGCAGAGCCCCTCCCTCGCCCAGTGAAGTGGCTCCCTTGGTATGGGAAGAGGCTTTTGCTTAGTGATTAAGCAATGGCACCATTTCCATGGGCAGTGCTCACACAAGGACCTCTGGGACCAGCTGACAAGGAGCTTGGCCAAGAAGCTCATGCAGCAGGACTCAGAGCTACAGAAGCACCAGGGCAGACAGACTTGGGGAAGGACAGGGGAGGTTCCAAGTGACACCAGAGCACTGGGGCCATAGGGTGTGACTTCTGCCTTATGTTAGACACCATGGCACCCTTGGCTTTTGTCCCTTTCTTCCTTCCTTCCTTCCTTCCTTCCTTCCTTCCTTCCTTCTTTCCTTCCTTCCTTCCTTCCCTCCCTCCCTCCCTCCCTCTCTCCCTTCTTCCTTTTTATTATGAAAGTACCCTGTCTTGGCTTCCCTCCAGGTAGGGGACTCAGAGAGAAGGAGGAGCAGGGAACAGAGCTTACAGTCAAGGCTAGAATAGAAGACTTGAGGGTTTTCATCAGTGAACTGTTCTGTGTTCAGTGGCTTTATGCCTGGCACCAAAAGGAAGCCCACATATTGGGAAGACTCCCCATGGGTGAATGAAGGCACAGCAACCTCAGCCTCCTATCTCTAAGCTCCTCCATTACCAAAGGCTATAACATTCCATTTGCTTACTCAACTCATAAGCGAGATTTGGGTTATTTTCATCCATTGTTATTTTCAGCAAAACGACGAGCTCTGGCCAAATTTATCAGAATCCGCAGAATCTAAAGACTGGCACTTTCTATTATAACTGACTTTGAAGTGGGGTACAGTAGCTGGGGGTCTAGTCCTGGCTCCGTCACTAATGAGCTGTATGGATTTGGACACAGAGTGAAACTAAGTAAAATGAAGTTGGACCTATGTTGAATGTCTCTGCTGGCTCTAGCATTCTGAACCCGGGACGACCAGGACGTGCTCACCCTCCCTTTAGGAATTGCTCAGCTGTGCTGCAAGGACTTAGAAATGGATGGATCTGAATTCTGTAGTCACAACCTCTTCTCTCTGCTGTAGTATTTTACCCTCAAGGTGTCTCCACAGTGGGCTCTAATTTTGTCGAGATGGCATGGCAGAAGGCAGCAAATCCCCAGCAGGAGACCAGAGTTACAGTCTTGTGGTACAGGAACTGATGGGCAATATTTATGCCAGCAAGTTGCTCAAATTCTGCCAGCGATGGTTTCTGTACCTTAGGGAATGAAAGCGATAGCATGTGCTCTGTTGGCCGCCTACGAGGGTATCTGGTAGTATGCATGAGAGCCCTTTACAAAAAGTACTAGCCAAGTAGACATAATTATGGAAATTATTACTGCTATGGGTAAGATACAGATGTGATTCCTTCTTTCTAAGCTCTGTAGCGATCACTTGACTTCCGTAAACTAGTCTCTTCTCTCTCTTCCCCCTCTATCCAAACCTCTCCAAGTGCTAGAGTTGAGCACAGATCCCGAGCCTTAACATTATCTGTTCTGCAGAGGTAGGGAAAAATACTTGGGGGCTTGGTGTCAGAGCAGGTGGGGGCTTTTACAGGAGGGAGGCAGGGGAGGAGTCATGCGTGTTCCTTGCAACCCCCTGCAGACATCTTCCCACAGCCGGACCTGACCGATGACGGGCTAGCTCGGCCTGTGTTGGCTGGAATCGTAGCTACCATCTGCTTCTTGGCAGCTGCCATCCTGTTCAGCACCCTGGCCGCCTGCTTTGTCAACAAGCAGCGCAAGCGTAAGCTCAAGCGCAAAAAAGGTGGGTGTCTTTCCCCACCGGCCTGCTCTACCTGGCCCAGCTCCAAATGCTCCCTGTTGGAAGAGATGGCCCACTTTTAGCATGGGTGCCCTTAAAAACAGGGAAATGGGGTCTTATGGGTGGAACTGCCAGTGGGACTTGATCTGGAAGAGGGAGTAAGAAAGAAGGATGCTGGGGAGGGAGTGAGGGGCCAGAATGGGCGAGAGGACACATGTAGTGGTGGTGAGCACAGGGCTGGGGACTGGCCCCAAAGATACCAAGCATTGGAAGGAGCTGCTCCCCTCTGTGGCTTTGCTCCGGGACCTATGGACGCCTGAGACGAGTTTTGCGTCTCTGGTCTCAGTCGGCTCTCCTCCCCTTCTTCTTCCTTCCAGATCCTCCACTCTCCATTACTCACTGCAGAAAGAGCCTTGAGTCTCCGTAAGTGCCCCTGCTGTGCTAGTGTGTGGGCAGAGGTGCAGGGTGGACACAGGCAGGTGGTTTGCCCCGCTCAGCCCCTTGAAACTATTTGCTTTCCACGGATCTGTGTGGTATTTTTAAGTTGGCCACGTGCACAGAGGGAGCAGTAGTGTGGACAGTCCAAATTAGTGGGCAATCCATTTCTCTTTAGCTTTGGAATGGGTTTCTGTGATGTTTTTTCATTCTAATGGATGTGCCTTCCTAGTGTGTTTCACTTAAGTTGGTACAAAGGTGGGGATACATTTCTTGAGCATGCTGGGAATGAAGTTAGAGGTGCAACTAGACAGAGTGGGGCAGACAGGAAGGACAGGGCAGAATGAAAGCAGAAATGTGGGTGTTCATTCAAAAACAGCTGGGACATATCTAGACAGCGGAGCGTTGAGCAAAGTATTTCCCGCCAAAATATGCGGCCCATTTGCATCCCTTTTTTTGAGTATTGTCTTAAGTGTTTGTGGTGGTCTGTTAAGAGGAGAAAAAGAAGTGGAGGAGCAGGCGTCTCCCACCTCACGCTTCTGCTCCTTCACTCACCCCTGCAGCTTGTCCTCTGGCAAGGTGAGCCCCGAGAGCATCCGCACACTCCGGGCCCCGTCGGAGTCCTCCGATGACCAAGGCCAGCCAGCAGCCAAGAGGATGCTGAGTCCCACCCGGGAGAAGGAGCTGTCGTTGTACAAGAAGACCAAGAGGGCCATCAGTAGCAAGAAGTACAGTGTGGCCAAGGCCGAGGCTGAGGCTGAGGCCACGACGCCCATCGAGCTCATCAGCAGAGGCCCCGATGGCCGCTTCGTGATGGATCCGTCCGAGATGGAGCCCTCAATGAAGAGCAGGCGCATTGAGGGCTTCCCCTTTGCCGAGGAGACAGACATGTACCCCGAGTTCCGCCAGTCGGATGAGGAGAATGAGGACCCGCTGGTGCCCACATCTGTGGCTGCCCTGAAGTCCCAGCTGACCCCTCTGTCGTCCAGCCAGGAGTCCTACCTGCCACCACCAGCATACAGCCCTCGGTTCCAGCCCCGTGGGTTGGAGGGCCCCGGCGGCCTGGAAGGTCGGCTCCAGGCCACAGGCCAGGCCAGACCCCCCGCCCCCCGGCCCTTCCACCATGCCCAGTATTATGGGTACCTCAGCAGCAGCAGCCCAGGGGAGGTGGAGCCGCCGCCCTTCTACATGCCAGAAGTGGGCAGCCCCTTGAGCTCGGTCATGTCCTCCCCACCCCTGCACACCGAGGGGCCTTTCGGCCACCCCACCATTCCTGAGGAAAACGGAGAGAATGCTTCCAACAGCACGCTGCCCTTGACTCAGACACCCACAGGAGGGCGCTCCCCTGAGCCCTGGGGCCGGCCAGAATTCCCCTTTGGGGGCCTGGAGACCCCGGCCATGATGTTTCCCCACCAGCTGCACCCCTGTGATGTAGCCGAGAGTCTGCAGCCCAAGGCCTGCCTCCCCCGAGGACTGCCCCCCACCTCCCTGCAGGTGCCCGCGGCCTACCCAGGCATCCTGTCTCTGGAGGCACCAAAGGGTTGGGCAGGCAAATCGCCGGGCAGAGGCCCCGTCCCAGTGCCCACCTCCGCTAAGTGGCAGGACAGACCTATGCAACCTCTGGTGAGCCAAGGGCAGCTAAGACATACCAGCCAAGGTATGGGCATCCCCGTGTTGCCTTACCCCGAGCCAGCCGAGCCCGGGGGGCACAGCGGCCCCAGCACATTTGGCCTGGACACCCGGTGGTACGAGCCCCAGCCCCGGCCCCGGCCCAGCCCCCGGCAGGCCAGGCGCGCCGAGCCCAGTTTACATCAAGTGGTGCTACAGCCCTCCCGGCTCTCGCCTCTGACCCAAAGCCCCCTCAGCTCCCGCACCGGCTCCCCTGAGCTTGCCGCCCGGGCCCGGCCTCGCCCGGGCCTCCTGCAGCAGGCAGAGATGTCGGAGATCACCCTGCAGCCGCCAGCCGCTGTCAGCTTCTCTCGCAAGTCCACACCATCCACGGGCTCCCCTTCCCAGAGCAGCCGCAGCGGGAGCCCCAGCTACCGGCCCACCATGGGCTTCACCACGCTGGCCACAGGCTACCCTTCCCCTCCGCCAGGCCCTGCAGGGCCTGCGGACAACCTGGATGTGTTTGGACAGACGCCTTCCCCTCGAAGGATGGGGGAGGAACTGCTCAGACCAGAGCCCCCCCCCACCGCCATTACCTACTTCAGGGTGAGTGTGAGCTGGTTTCTCCTGCCCACCTCCACCTGGTCATCTTCCACCCCCCATTCCTTACCCACCCTCCGCCCCTTCCATCAACCCAAATGACAGGGCTTGTCTGGACATGCTGCAGCATCCCTTCGGGAGAGTTCTGGTCCTGGCATCAGCAGGGTGTGGACATGGGGTTGAGGGTGGGGCTTACCTGCCCAGGTACCCTGCCAGGAGCATGAGGGAGCCTCTCCACCCAGCCCAGAGCTCTCAGGAGGCCCCAGGGTGATGGGGAGTGGATGCACATGGGCGTGGGGGGGGGAGTGTGATGTGTCCGAGGGAGTGGTCACCTCAGTTACTCTTGCAGTGGAGGGCTCTCTGCATCCCTGTGATCCTGGCTTTGGGTGATTCCAGGGTTTACCCAGAGACCTTGTATCCAGCCTCCTTTTCTTTCCCGGCCCATCCTCCCTGCTAGGCAGGACCCTGAAGCCTGATTTCCCTGGACCACCAGGCCTGGGGCTCCTCTTCCCAATCTCCTGGCCTTAGCAGCCTAGTGAGCGGGGTCCCCCCCACCCAACAAACTCTCCAGGGGGCACATCCTGGAGGCTGGGAGCAAAATCTCAGGCCTGTGAACTGTGATCCTGGAGCCACATACCCTACCCCAACCTGTGTGCCTCGCAGGAAGCTGCAGACAGACAGACAGACAGACAAGCTCCTGCGATCAGCCTGCCTGAGAGAGCACACTCTAAACTGTAGCAGCTGGTATTCCAGGTACCAGAGTCAGCCTGGACGCCCGTCTGTGCCTCTTTTTCTCTCGTCTTTCTTCCCCTGTCCCCCTCTCCCCTCCTCCCCCTCTCCCTTCCTTCCTCCTCAAGTCTGGCTTTCATTCTGTCTGTCTTTCTTCCTTCTGGATCTTCTTGGGGTTGGCCCAACTGGCTCCAAAGGGTTTGCAAAGCCTCCGTAGGGCCCCCTGGTCCCTCCTGCCCTCCCTCCCTCTCTTTCTTTCTCTCTGGTTCCATCCTTTGGTCTCTCTTCTTGATGTGGCCGCCTGTGCAGGGGAGCAGAGTGTTTCAGAGGAGGATGGCCTGGTCTTAGGCAGGATGGGAGGCGGTTGGAGAGGAGGGAGCCCAGCGCCCTTCCCCTGCCCCAGGCACTCCCACCCTCTCTGGTACCTGGAAGTACAGGTTCTCCTCCCACTGCCCCTGCTCCTGGCAGGCGGAGAAGGTGGCGGAGAGCTCTAGCTAGGACGCCGGCGTGGCGCGCCCACAGGACCCCGTGCCTCCGTCTGTGCAGGAGGTGCTGTGCGCCGCAGCCCTGTCGTCTGTGCTTTGTGCAGCGCTCATCTGCCTCGTCCATCGTGCCGTCTGGTTCTCTGTCTCTCTCCTCTCCTTCCCCTCACCCCATTCTCTGGCCTCGCTTGTGATTCTCTGGCCCCCGTGCTCCTCCCCTCCTCCCCTCTGGGTGTGCGTGGGTGGTTCCCCCACGCCCGTGTTGATAACTGCTTTGTTTCTGATTGATCTCAGCTATCTGGGCAGTGTTGTCGAGACAAGCCTCTCCTCAGCTCAATAGGTAAGGGAGCTCCGCGGCTGGGGCGGGGCGGGGGGCGGACAGGCGGACGGGGCTTCCGCAGGGCCATCGCTTCCTTTACAGGGGAATCCAAACCATGTCCCCTCACCCCCTCTGTGGGCGGCAGCCTCCGCTGCTCTGGACCCCACGGCTTCTGGGTTCCCCACATCATGCTGCTCCCACAGCCTCACCAGGCCACGCTCTGGCACTGCCTAGCTGCAGCTTCTGACTCCCACCTCACATGCCAAGCCTCTCCCAGAGCCTCCCTGCAGTTTTCCTCACTCGGACCCCTGCTGCCCACACACCCAGGGCCTCCTACAGAATCCCCCTGGGACCCTGCATGCACCCGGAGGGGCCTAGAATGCCTAAGAGCCGCTTTGCATCTCTGCACCTCTGGAAACATCAGGCCACACTTAGATCCAGAACCACCCCCGCTTGCCCTGTTTTCCCAGCAACCTCAGGCAGCGCCTGGCCCCCCCCCCACCCCCGCCCCGCCCCGGTTCCATGCTAGTCCCATGCTGGTCCCTCACAGTCTTCTTGAGATCTTTCTAATATTCTTAAGGAACACACAGTTGGGGTGTGGCCCAGCTCCTTCCCTCAACTGGCAACTCCTTCCCTCAGCTGGGTCATCCTCAGGACCAGGTCACCTGTAGTCCTGTGAGGGCAAGGGCAGGGGACTGTCACCATGTCTCATGTCCCTTGCCTTCGGTAGCCTGTTCTTGGTTGTTACAGGACTGAGATATGGACCTCGCCCTCAGGTCCAAATTGCTTTCAAGATCCCTGTAGTAGCCATTCCTGATCTCCTCGGGTCACAGCTCTGGGGTCTTGGGAGGAGAGTCCCAGGGGTAGAGGACAGGCTTCCCCCGCGGCAGGAGGAAGCTGAGCAGTGAAGCGTTGTGCTCTTTCCTCTGCTCTCCACAGAGGTTGGTCCTCTTCTGGCGTTCTTCCAGGTGGAGGTCTCAGGAACTTGGGCAGTTTAGATGGGTATCAACTCTCTTAAAGAGGCTTAGGGTCACCCGAGACTCACTGTCTTTCTGGTGACTAAGATGCTTCTTTTTGCCATGGACACCATTGCCTGTGCCTCTGGGAACAAGCAGAGTGGGAACAGGAGGGCTTCCTGGCTTCTCTAGGTGAGAAGCATCTGCATCCCTTGCACACCTAGAAATGTCAAGGGAGGCTGATTATCCTAACTCAGGACTGTAAGGCTTCGGTCAGAAGAGTGGCCTCCCAGAAGAAGGATTGGACTGCTTTGCCATTTCTTTATGATCTGCAGCTATAAACTTGTTAACAGCTAGGAGGCCGTGGGATTGTGTCTGAGGCTGGTTGGGTACCACACTGAGGCCATTAGCACTGGAGAGCAGGGAGGGTGTCAGGAAGGAGTTATGGGCCTACCTTCTTGAGGGGCCTCCTCTGGCCTCCTGGGTGGATGCTCCGGAGTGACAATGATTGGGACATCCTCCACCTTCCTGCTCTTCCTCCCTGAACCCCAGTTATGACCCTTCTGTCACCCCCAGAGAGGTGATAGCTGCAGCACCAGCTGTTACTCCACCCCTGGAAAGTTCCTGGACCCCATTCCCCGTTGTTGCCGCCACTCCCTTCACCAGTCATGGACCCCTCCCTGCGCAACCTCCCTGCTGCACCAGATCTGAGAGCTGAGCTATCATATTCTCCCTGCTGTGGCAAACCCAGAAACCAAGGGCCGTGATGAGGGCGAATTGGTTCCTTGGGGGCCTGGCCAGCATCCCCAGCCTAGGAGAATTAAGTGCTCCCTGCAGCCTCGGAGTTAGACCTTGATGGTGCTGGGCAGCAAGAGCCACCGCTCACTCCCGCTTGCTGAGAGCCTCCCCCGGGCGCGGTAGCTGCTGGGGCCATTGGGAGGTGTCAGGCTCCTCTTCAGATGCTGTCTTCATGCTGCGCCTTTGCATGTGTCTCCACTTGGTCTTGCTTGGAGAAGGTGTGACACGTCTTGTCTACGTTCGTTCTTGCTCTGTTCCTGTTTCCTTCAGTCTCTCTCCTGTTCCTTCTCCCCTGTACCTGCAGTGGTCTTCCCGCCTCTCCTCCTCTCTCTCTCCCCTTTTTCTCCTCTTGCCAACTCCCATCTCAGAGTGGGGAGTTGTATTGCGTGGACCAGCCCTTTCTGGGGCCTGCTGGGAGGAGGCCGGTGGTTTTCTCGGCTTCCTGTCTCATACCAGGAGCAGCCCTCTTCTCACCTCCCCCTCAAGCCCCCTCTCCTGTTAGTGCCGACCTTGGCCTCTCTAATCAGGTGGGTCTGGAAGGGTGGATGGGGCCCCCCTTTTACCGGGTGGACTGTAGGAAGGAGCTCCCATTTGGAAACAAGTGTCTCCCAAGCCCTGAGGCCAAACTGGGTTTGTCCCCTGACCCCACTGGAGAAGGTTGTCATCTGTCATTACAGCTGAGTGGGAGCTGACCTCTGCAATCCTGGCTTTCTGTTTTGTAAGTGGAGAGTGGGGGGACCTTTTTCCCGGCCATGCCTTGTATACAAGTGGATTTCCTCATCCGCCCTCCATGGTCTAAGGTCAGATGAGCAGTCTGCTGTCAGGCAGTTATGAAGAGGAGAAAAACACCCCTTAAATCACTGCCTCTGCCTGCTGACTGGGGACAGCCCACACATGTTGGAGTGGTCAGCAATTAGGCCAGTAAAAGCAGGAACTGTCCAGTGGATTCTGACTTCTCTGACCTGTGGTTTGCCTATTTTTTGAACCTTTTTGTCTGTGTCTTTTCTCCACTATCCTAGGTAAGCAGAGAGCTAAGCAGCCAAGGCCCTGGGCTAAATGGTTGTGATTTGGGTTTTGTATGGATTTTATGAAAACAGAGAGAGAGAGAGAGAGAGAGAGAGAGAGAGATTCCAGGCAGTTTTTGGTAGTTCTGAAGTGCAGAGAAGCATTGCTGGGATAGAGAACTGAGGTTTACGGGGAACTCCATATGACATGGAAGATCCAGAAAAACCTCTGGGCTTTTAGGCCTCATACTCTGACTTCCTGTGAGGAGGAGAGCCCAAGAGTTTGCTGGATTCCTGTATATACTTTAGAAGAATTGAATTTGATTGGGAAGAGAACAGTGACCTCCATTTCTTAGAGAGCCCAGGTTTGGTTACAGGTTACAGGGTAACCTACTGGTCAACCTCAGATTCACTTACCGACTTCATTCCAGGGATAGGATGAAGTTGCTTAACCCATGCTTTCCACTACCTGACAGACAGCAGCATCAAAAGCTTCATTATCTGATAGGTCCCCTGTGGGCTTGATATTGACTGGGGACATGGTCACCCTTCCTAGAAAAGAGAGGCAATTTGATTCCAAAGGGCTTAACATGCTGTAGGTAAAGTCTGTTGGGCCCTGTTTCACATGTCTTTTCTGTATCATTTGCTAAAAATAAAGATCCATTTTTGCCCCCTCACACACCCCGTCCTTCCAGACATTTGCTTTTATTTTTCCCTCCTGCATCGGTGGAGTGTCTTGGTGCCTCCAGGAGCCTTCTGTCATGTTTCTGTGTTTGAGCACTGAGCCCAAGTGAAAACAGGTGGACAGCAGGTGTCCTGGAAGGGCTGGCGCTTGGCTGTTTCACAAGGGAAAATTGGCTTTTCCTCCTCAATGGATCATTACTGTTTGGGAATTTTTGCCTGAAGATACAACTTCAGCCAGTGTTTTCCCATCCCTGGTCTATCTTACTCTGGCCGTGCCACCGGGAGCAGAGAATGTCAGGGACTACTGCAGCACGGCGAAGTGACCTACCGCTCAAGTGAAGTGTGGGAAATCTGTTTTCTTCTAGAGAGCCTCTGGACCATTTTCCTTTAGGAGGAAGTTGGAAGAGCAGTTTAGCCTAATGTTGAGAGTCGAGTCTCTGTCGCATTTTAACTGGATTAGTAGACAAGCTGCTTAACCCTCTGCATTCAGTTTCTCCCTCTGAGAAACAGGATCAGTCTAGTGTTTACCTCTTAGGGGTATTGTAAGGATGAATGCAAACTATTGTAGAGAACATAGACCAGTGCTGGGCATGGTAAGTGGTAAATAAATACTATGTGATAGAAATGATAAAGGTAATGATATGTTAATTTTAGTATTCGTATTCTTAGAGGTTTCACCTGGCTTGAAAAACCCTAGAAAAACCCTAGGAGTGTTCTGAACCAGTTTCTCTCATGCCCTCTTGGGGCACCCTGGGTTATGTGGTTTAATCACTGCTCCCTGGGGCTGCTTGCTTGTCAGATACCTCCTTGGACCATGCATTGCTCACCTTGTGTGGTCCTTTTGAAGAGGCTGGCCAGGGCCAGGAGACAGGTAAACTGAACGGCTGATTCATACCTTTGATTTTCCTTTTAGGTAGCTGAAGAAGCCCTAGTCAAGGATGAGAAGGGGGTGAGGACATCCTGCCAACATTGCAGAGTCATGCTCCCTCACACCCTAGCCATCTCCACCCTTAGCCCGCCTTCCAGATTCCCTTGCAGCCACCACTGCTGCTATGTAGGATCTCTGTGGGCAGAGTCTGAAGGAGGAGGGGACGGGGAATTTGCAGGTTGGGTCTTTGGGAGTGGAAGACCTCATGGTGAGTTGTATTTCTCTCCAAGACCATGTGTTGCCTGTGTGTGCGTGTAGGTGGGGCCTCTGAGCTCCGTGCTGTCAGGGGAATGTGGAAAATCTAGAAGCTCTCTCTGACCTGAACTTTGGAGGAGCTTCTTGATACTTTATTTACTAAAAGGCTATGGAATGATGACATCCATCAAAGAAGATGGAGGTTGCTTCATTGCCAGTTAATGCAGGAAATCCCAGAGACCAGAGGCTTATCAACAATTAGTCTGTAAGTTTTTTCTTCCTTTATCCCCACGAGTGTGATGAGTACTGGGGAGATGGGGCTGCAGACCTCCCATCCCTCTGTCATTTGTTGTTCTGCTTCAGATTGCTTGCTCACCACTGGGCACTTCTTTTCCCCTCACAGGGTTGGCTGCCCTCCTTTTAATCAGGATTTACCCAAAACCAATGTGATGGAGGTGGAAGAGGGAGATGCGGGGACTGAGGAAGAATGTGATTCACTTCAGTGCACTGTGGCCCTAGAATGTCTCTGCTCCCCTGATGGCATGCTAAGGCCAGCCCTGGTGGGAAAGAAAGAACAACTCCTCTCTCTCCGCCTTTATTCCTTGGGCTCCAAGTTTGGCTTACTTTGAGAAGAAATGACATTGATACCTGTCTTCTAGATTTTCTTTTATGACTCTTGGAAAATTCTCTCCACTATCTACCGGTTGTCACAGACAGTCCATCCTCTCGGCTCCCTTTGGTCTCCTTTGTCACAGGGGCTGCACAGGCTCCAGCGGAACTGTGGGCTCCGTTCTAATCTCATGGTTGATCCATCAGGCACATGACAGCATCCGTCCTGCAGCTGAGGGAGGAGGAGAGACCGACATACATGGTGTTTCTCCCAACCCGTTTCTCTACTGAATCTTAAAATGTAGAGATTCACTGGGAACTTGCTACTGAAGGCAAGGGCTTTGCAAGGCTGCCAAATCTGGCCACTAACTGTCATAATCTACTCCCACCTTCTTTTATTCTCGTGCATGACTGGTGACATCTGAGAGCGTCAGGGAGACCCCCCTGTTGAAATGTGGGTAGATGACAAATATTTGTTGCTGTTAGCTGCTGGGGTTCTGCCTAACTCTGGTGGGCAGAGGGGAAGAAGCCCAGTGAAGCTGGGTTTTATGTACCCTCCATCTCACTGGCTCTTGGGTTTCTCTTTGGCCCTGGCCTTCTCTTTTCCAAAGGAGGACAGTCCGTTCACTGGGGTAGGTTTCCTTACCTCCTGCTTTAAACTGCCCTTTTCATTTAAAGGTCTTTGTTATGATGATTTCCAACAACTTTGGTTACTGAAGCTGCTTTCTTCTCTGACCTTCCTCCTCCTGGTTGGAGTGACATGTGATGAAACTCAAGATTAAAGTCTCTCTCTCCTTTTCTTAGGTCTTCTGGTTGCCCTGCAGATTGGTTTCCATCTGAGGCTGGCCTCCCACTGCTGGAGCTTTCTTCTGGCCTTTCTCCCTTCCAGGAGCAATCAAGAGGCAGGTGTCAAGGAACCACTGTGGATGCCTGGGACTCTGTCCTCCTGTGGGTCAGCTGTATGGTTTTCTTCCAGCCCCTCTTCAGAAGCTCCCTCTTCTGGGAGCTGACCAGTGCCTCTCTAATTGTCCCTTCCAGAACACATCCACCTGCACCCGGGAATGCTGCTGCACCTGAGAGGCTGGAGGCTCTGAAATACCAACGGATAAAGAAGCCCAAAAAGTCATCCAAGGGCTCTTCGAAGTCAAAGAAACGATCCGGTAAATGGCGGATCCTCTCTTTCCCCCTCTCTCTGCTGTTATTGTGAGATTGTTTGGTTCAGGATCCCGTCTTTGGGTTTTCTCTAGGATTAAATCCACCAGCTTATGTTATTGTCTCTTTTTAATATTAATTATCAAGTAATACATAAATACAATTTTCATGTGAAAATTAGAAAGGTAAAGTCTCTGATCATCCTCCTGATTGTTTCCTCCCTTCTGGGAAGTGTCCTTGGCAGGATGCATGCTTTCAGAGACTTTCCATGCATACACCTTGATAAAATACATTGTATTTTTTTAATGCATTTTTAAACAACATAAGTAGTATCTTAATTTTTTTCCACTCTGCCATATATCTTTTGTAACTATCTCTATTTCCTTATATATTTCTTCTCTATTATTTCAGACCTTCTAGTCGGGTGTGGGAATTATGGGGTCCTACTCAGGACTTAGGGGACATCATGGCATTACCCAGCCTCTGCAGGATGACCAAACTTTTCTTAGTGAGATAGAATGAAATCTCCTTATCATAGAAAGGACATTTCTATTGAAATATGTCTGATGTTTATATCCAGCGTTGATCAGTAGCTGCTAAGATAGTGCAAAAAGAATTCAGCCCCTTTTTACACTTAGAACATTCTTTAGTATTTATCATGTACTCTTTTTTTCTTTTAATCAATGGTTTTAGGAATCTTGTCACAGGCTGTCAAAAAAAAAAAAGGCAGCTGAACCGTTTCCTTGCAGATCTTTAATTACTGGAGAGTAACTTTCTTTAGGGACTGGGTTATGGGAAAGTGGTCCTCATAGGCCCCTGGAATCTTCGGAAGAAGTGAGCATTTGTTTCTCACTTAGCCTTCGGGTGGTGCTATTATCCTATTTGTTTATAGATGGGAGTACTGGGGCAGAAGAGAGGAAAATGATTTTTTTAGGGTTTGGTGAGAAATTGGAGCCCAAAGCTGAATGTTCAGCCCCCTTAAGCCCATTGCATTTGAAGAGCCATGTACCTACCTACCTATGTATTTACGTTTTGTTTTGTTTTAACAAAAAGAGCCACCTCAGATGCTTGTACTCCCTCTTGTTCTGTCTCGCCATCCTGTGCCCTGTAATATGTTGATGGCTCTCAAATGTCTGTTTTTAGCTCTGGTCTCTTCCATGAGCTCGAATCTCATATTTCCAGTTGCCTGCTGAACATGCACTTAGATGTTTTATAAGCCTTTGAAATGTCCAGAATAGAGTTATTGATTATCCTCTCCAAATCTGTGTCTCCTTGCTTCCTTCCCAGCTTCTTAAAGATCACCACTCCTGACCTCTCTGCTGGGGGAGCGAGCCTTGCTCCTTCTCTTGCTCTCACACATCCCATCCAATCCATTTGGTAAGGTCTATGCTCCCAACTCTGAGAGCAGATCCTAAATTTGACCACTGTTTTCCACCTCGATTGCTAAAACTGAATTCTGAGTTACTGTCCTTCCCACCCTGATGCTTGCACTCATCTCCAGGTTGTCCTGCTTCATCCTTTGCTCCTCCTACATATATTCTACACTGAGCAACCGAAGTGATCTTATAAGATGTAGCAGCATCCTCTTTCAGTCATGGCAATGTGCACACTCACGCACACACACACATCTGATGAAAACCTTCCAGAAGCTTCCCACTGCAACCAGAGCAGATTTCATACTCGTTACGATACCCTTCTCCATCTTCCCTGCCTTGCTGTCCTCTGCTCACTCTGCTTCAGCTACGATAGCCTTCCTTCGGTCCCTGAAGTACGGCACATTCGCTCTTAAGCCGTGGGTTTCACTTTTGCCCCTCCTTCTGCTGGGAACTCTTCTCACTCAGAGCTTTGGAAGGCTTGTCATTCGAGACTCTACTCCTCTTCTGAAAGTAGAACTGTGCTGTAGTCCTTTGCCCTCACGTGGCCCTGTTTGCGTCTTTCTCTGTAGGTCTTTCAGTATCTGGAAATTTCATTTCTGTATTTTTTAAGTCCTTAATGTTTGTCTCTTCCTTCTCACTCCACACTAAAGTATAGTTTTCTAGAAACCCAGCACTTTACTGCCGTATCTGCAGAAGAGCCGTGCGATAGAAGAGGGGCCCAGGGAGTCTAGGAAGGGCCACACCTGGCTCTGTTGCAAGGATGGAAATCTTGGGTAAAGTCTGTCACTGCTGGGGGACAAGGGGGTGAAGAAAGTGTATTGAGTTCCAATCCACTCTTAGAAGCCCGGATCCCCAACACCTAGAATGATGCTTGGTTCCCAGGAGACACTAAAAAATAAACAGATATTACTCTAATAAAAATTTAAATGCTAGAAATACTAGATAACAGATTTAAATAAAAGTATTTAATATTAAATAAAAGATAAAAAAGAAATGCTGATGGACTAGACCCATCCTGCTTTCTTGACCCTCGGTACGACCAGGGGAGCAGACTCAGGTCATTGGTTCTCAGCACAGATGGCTTTAGAACAGGAGGCCCTTTGGCCACCAGGCTCCAGGGCCCTGTTGAACTTGGTGATTCTTATTCTCCTACTGGAGAGCCAGGATATATGTCTCAGCAGATGAAAATGGTGAGTGTGTGAGGGGACCACCTTCCTTTTCACCCACTTTATTTTTTTCCCATTTGTTTGGTGCACCTGTTCCCTTCTCCCTAGACGGTTCTGCCTCCCAGGCTCAGCAGCTTCCAGATTCCCAGGTTCTGTGGCCCGATGAAGCCGTCTGCCTCCGAAAGAAGAAGAGACATTCTCGGCCTGACCCCTTTGCCCGCCTCTCAGACCTGTGCCACCGCCAGCTTCCAGAAGACCAGACGGCGATTCTTAACAGCGTGGATCACGATGACCCTGGCCACGCCACCTTGCTGTGACGCGACACAACTCTAAGTTGTCCTAGGGTGGTCATGCTGGGCTGAGGGGCGGGGGAGGGAGGATGACGGTGTGCCAGCTGAGGGGTAGTCTGGGGGGCTGCTCTGACCTTTGTTCTGCACTCCAGCGAGAGTGCAGCCTCCTCCAAATCCTGGCCAGCTGGTCTCACTTCAGGGACAGTGGGCCAGGGGCAGACTATAGGTAGAGATCAGGAAGTGAACTGGGGACAGGGAGAGATCGGCCTCCTTCCCACCTCTCCCCACTTCACTGGCTTGATTTTTCTCACCTCTTCAAATACCTTTGGAAGTGAAGAAGGGGAAAGCAATGGCTTTTACTGCTCTCTGCTTCTGTTTCAGTTTTTTCAAGTCCTGGAAGAGGGCTGGACTGCCCACCCCATCTTCCAATTCTACATATATATAGATATAGATACAAATGCATCTGTATGTAGTTTGTGGGTTTCTCTATGTATATATATGTACATTGAAGCAAAGTGCTGTTTATTTCTGTGGTCAGTGAAGGAAGGAGGAGGAGGGCAGCAGACTTGTGGGGTTTGTAAGGAGGATCGGCAGAGAGCCGGCTGGGCGTCCTGATGTCTGTCCAGGGTGTCATTCCTCCTGAAACAGGATTCATGCCTTCTCAGCTGAACTCACCGTTCATCTCTCTACCTTCTCCCTTCCAGAGCAGAAATGGGGCTTGCCATGATGGCCAGCTGCCTGCTCTGGCGGGGAGGTAATGAGTTACCACAGAACTAAACGCAAGCCCTTACTTCTTGGTTCCTAGGTGAAGAGAGGGTGGCCAGCAAAGGGCACACTGGTGTCTGTCTTTCTTCCATGGGTTGGCTCCTGCTACAGAAGTAGCAGCTGCCTAGCAGGTGGGCCGAGAGGCAGGTCCTGCACAAACGCAAGCTCCTCTGTCAGGCCCTCTTGGTGCAGCCAGGGCCGGGGGCCCTGTGGCCCGAGGGCCGGCTCCCATTCTGGAGCCATCTGTGTGGAGTGCCAGGCTGCCGTGGCTCTATTTATATCCTGCCTCTGGCTCGGCACCCTCTGGAGTGCTGTTCCAAAGGCGCTGATTGGATTCCTCCTTTCTTTTTGTGGGAGCTAATTCCCCAGATTGATTAATTGCCACTTGTGGGGAGCCTGCCTGCGGCTCCTTTCCATCTCTCCACGTGCCGCCTGCAGACTCTTCTTTGCCCTGGGCTTTCCTCCAACCCGTGGACCCAAGCTCCAACAGGATGGGATCGGATGAAGTGAGGGTGCCTTAGGTTTCTGGGTTCTGGGGGTCCCCTGGCACCCCTCATTCCCTCAAGGTTTATTTACGTGGAGCTGGCTGAGGCAGAGGGTGAAGGTGGAAGGGGTGATAGGTGGGGGCCTGGACTCTGATCCTTCTTTCTGCCAAAATCTTGTCCTAGTTCAAACTCTTAGCACCCAGAAGCTTCTGTGAGGTTGTCCTACAGTGACTAAAGATGGATCGCTCTCTCTCAGTGAGATAATGGTGCTGCTCAAGAGCAGGGCAGAAGGTCCTGAAGATATATGGGGGTGTGTCTGCTCTTTCCCCTCTTCTTCTGTTGGAGCCTGCCCCCTGGCTGCCTGGGAATAAAGGTGGCTATCAGGTTCCTTGAAGTATTTCCTTCTTGGTGCTGTTGTCTTGGTGGGTTTGGGGACATCTGCCTCTCCCCTGTTGCCTGCTTGGATGTTGGCCACGTCAAAGCCCAGGAGGCTTCTGCTGGTCTCACTGCAGTTGCTAGTAGCTTAGCTCTGATGACCTTGGCAGGGGGAGGCTCTGAGAGCTGGGGAACTGCTCCTTGCTGGGAGCTTCCATCTTAGGGGAGTGGATTCTTCTCTGCCACACCAGCCCTGGTGCTTCCTTTCTCTTGCCTAGTGAGGGGGGACCGTTCTGTCACATGTCACACAACCAGAGTTCATTTCTGAGGGCGATGAGTCATTGTGATGGAGGAGGGAGGGGGCAGTTTCTGGCCCTCATCTTGCTGATTGCTCTACTCTTCTGGGCTGGGCCTGCGCTTTGGGGTGGAGCCTGGACCTTCTGGCTAACACCATTCTCTGGGCATCTAAAACCCCTGACTTTACCACTGGGCAGCAGCTCCAGCGAAACGGGAAAGCAGAGGTTGGGCAACTCCGTCTGCTTTTCCGAGGAAGCACTACCTCTGCTACCGTGCCCGATGAGTGACGCTGAGTACCTCTCCTAGGGCGTGTGGGGAATGGACACGGGTCTCACACTGGCTCACTTTGTAGCCTTTCTTGGTGTGTGGCTTGCTGACCAGGGTGGATCCTGGCTGAAATGTGAATGTGGGATGCCAGAGCTGTAGGACTTCAGGGTGAGTTGGGCCAATCTTCTGATCTCCATGCACTAGGAGTTCCAGGTCCTGAGCTTAACAAAGAAGAGGAGAAGATGAGGTGGAAGGCTTTGCCTCTCTAGGATATCCTACAAGGCTGAGAGCCAGTCTTTGGGCTGAGGTGCCTCAGACTACGGCTGTGCTTTCCCAGGGGGCCCACCAGCAAGCTATCTCCAGGGCTAACAAAGGTGCTTGACTCCTGTCTTCTCTTCTTCCTCTGGCAGTGCCCCTTACCTCAGCACAGCAGACCAAATAGTGGGAGCTGTGCTTTTTGCTGGCCATCCAGTGGCAGTTGTGCTGGGGCATCCCCAAGGCTAGGCAAAGGACACACAACCAACGTATCTCTCAATGGCCTCACACTCACTTCTCCTCCCAAGATGGCCTCCTTGTGACAGTGTCCTTGAAGGCTGGCAGCCTTCCTGCACCCCTGGGAGCTATTTCAGTTCTTCCTTGAAGGGCTGCGGTGGAAATTGGCAGAATATAGTCCCCTCTGTCTGTGTGATGGAGAGTAAAGGTGTCGTAGGTACACACTTCCATGCTGGGTGTGTGCACATATGTGAGGGTGTGGTTGTGCACCTTTGTGTGATGGGGGTGTAGCCATTTCTAGGGATCAAATGTCCTTTGTACTTGGCCCTTGAACAATTGCCATGTGCGCTCGTGAGCTTCCTATGACTTTTGTGCTCCACTCTGTGGGCAATCAAATGTCTTCCAGACTTCCTCTTTTATGGTCTGGTACCTTTGCTGTAGAAGCAGCTCAGATAAGAGCCTACTCCTGCGTCTCAGACTCTTGCCTGCCCCTTCATTCTGCACGCTGACTAGAAACTGTGACTGTTTCGGGTTAAGTGATTTGCAGACTGGGACAAGGGTACATGATTCTTGAAGGAGCCTGAAGCTGAAAGCATGTAGGAGGGTCTGAGATTGCAATTGCTTGGGGAATAAATGAGTAATAAGGAGAAGGCAAATCCTGTTTTTTGATTTCTGGCTGACCACACTGAGTGGGTTTCATGGCTTGCATGGGGTCTTGTGTGTGGATCATCATTTGTGACCAAGTTCAGCATGTGTTGGTGAGCCCCACCACCGTGTCTCCCCACCTGCCTCCCTAGCTTCTTTCCTTGAGAGATGGGGTGGGGGATGGTATGAGAGACCTTTGGAGATTCTACTTTCTCTGTAGGAAGGAAGGGTGCTTCATCCCACAGGGCTGGTGGGGTCTGTGCCCCAATTTGAAGAGCCTGTGTCCAATTATCATGCTCTTAGGGGCATCTCAAGCAGGGGTGGATTGGGGTGAGTAATTATTTAATATTTTTCAATGCTCTCTATCTTTATTTTGATTTGGGATCAAAAATATTTAGGGTTGTACTGATTCCAGTTGTTTTCCTATGTCTTTTACACAGAGGAAACTGGGTAGGGTTCAGATGTGGAATTTTCTGACGAGTTTTGAGGTATTTTTTAATCTTTTTTTTTTTTTTTTTCTGAGTTGACAAAACAATAGCTTCAAGGGAGAAACAGACTTCACAAAGCATCAGGGTGACTTTGCCACTCGCCAGGATTAGAATCCAGCGCCAAGGGATGCATGGCTGCAGCTGTTTCTTCCAGTTTTGTTAGAAAAGCCTTCTGGGGGGTTGGGGTGGGCTAGGGGGAGAATTGTACATAAAGTACATTTTATTACTACATAGAAACATAAGAAAAGAGAAGCTAATGGTTAATCTTGGGCTTGCTTTGCTTGCATGTAAAGCTTTGGGCGCCATCACAGGGATTTCCAGGGAGCAGTAGGAAGGAGTCAAAGGGGAAAGATGGGTAGGAGTGAAAGGCAGCTCCCCTGAATGCATCCCCACTGCTTCCCCTGGGGAAGAATGTGCATTTTCACCAGCCCTTTTGGGCAAGCTCTGCCTTCATATCTTCTCCAAAATAAAGGGAGGCAGGCTCTGGCAGGCCGGAGGGTTGGAGCCCCATGGGGCTGCACTTGTTGCTTTGGGGAGAAGGTCCAGATCTAAACTGAATAAGGGAATTGATCGGGTGGGGTGCTTCAAGAAAGGAAGAGAGTTGGAGGACAGAAAGGAGGTCAGATTCTTTGGCTTAGTGTCTATAAGGCTAGAAAGGGAATATAGAGCTAGGTCAATCGCAAAGTAGAAAGAAGGTGGGGATTCTGAGATACGACAGGCCAAAGCTGAGGGACATTAAGCCTCACCTTTCTCTATGGGGCATATGATAACTTAGTTACCCCTAAGGGTGCAGTGTACAAGTGAGGGGGGCGGTCAACCCAAGAAAAGAAAAAGAGGAGCAGCTGTCTGGGGTGGAGCAGGCTGGAGAGTAGTAGCAGTGAAGGTCATTTGAGGGGACAGATGTGGGAGGGTGATATAGTCATTGAAAAAAGAATAAGGGGTCTTGGCACATAGGCCCAGACTGGATCTTGGAAGAGGTCTTGCTTCTTAGCCGGACTTCCTTGCTTCCTCTAGAATTAGCCTATAACACTAAGTGCCCAAACAAAACATGGTCATATTCTCTGTGATGTCTTTCAGCTTCATGTGTTTGTTTTTAAAAGTTCCTCAGGCCCAAAGCTAGACTTGTCTTGAGATCCCCATCGTATTGCCAGCTCTATGTCATTAGAGAAGCAGGACTCATTCTCATAAGCTTCATTAGTTTGTTTTCATAAGTGGAAGTGGCAGATGGCCTTTTCCCTGTCTCCCATGATCTTAATCTGCTCGTAAGATGTTGCTGGTGATGGAGAGGAAGGACTGGGGTTTGCTTTTTTATTTGTCACCTTTTC